GCAGACAAAATATGAGGACAAGCGTGGTAACTCAGTGGGTATCAACTCTGGCACTGCAGCGGGGAGGTTGCGGGTTCGATTTTATTGTCCCTCAAAGCTCCCCTACACACGATCAGTTGGTGCTATGTTGGCACCTCACGTACTTGTTCGTCAACCTAGTACAACACATGGATAATTAGTTGTAGTAGCTTAGTGGGTTGAGCTTGGGTGCTGTAAGGGAGAGGTCCGATTTGTTTTTGATTGACCTTGTGCACAGAGTACAGATATAGTTGGGGCACAAGCAAGAATGGGCCAAGGAGGTCTAGTGGAGTGGATGATCACGCAAGTGGTTGCCTTTCGACCTCGCTTTGGGGCCGTAGAGCCACATGTGGGATGGTCAAGCAGGGATTTGTATGACAAACAGACCAGAGTGGGCCCAGTGGGTGACAATAATATAGGAGTGGGTGGTGACCATCTACTTATTGATGACCAAGACCAGAGCTTTGTTGAGTGATAAAAAAAAACAATTACAACAACTAGAGGAGTCTAGCTGATGACTAAGGTACAGGGATGGATGATAGCCATGTATCTATTCATGACAAAGGCTAGAGTCCCTCCAGACAATGAACAACCAACAATGACCACAACAACACTAGTACAACCACAAGTAGAACCTTTAAGTCATATTAACAACATAAGTAGAACAACTGATAGCAGTTATGCTAGGCGGGTATATCCAAGTTGCTCAGGGGGTGTCAGATGTTAGACCTTGGCTAGAAGGGGGGCATTGGACACTGTGAGGAGGGGGGCATTAAACATTGATCGTATCTAGGATATACATGAGTAGATCCATACGTTGGGGAGCCCGAGTAAGTTGGGGCCGCATTAAGGGTCTACCCATGATGACTGGAGAAAGAACGCTTATGCCTAGCGCCCAAAGTCCCCATACGATAGGGCTCGTTTGAGCGTGCTTCAACCAGGGTTGGATGAGTTACTGCTCAATCGTGGTGCCTGCAACTGGTATCCAGTCAAGTTACCCCCCCAAGATGGGAGAAGGGTGATGGTCCTGAGTGGTAGACATTGAGGCAGGACTGGGGGAGTAAAATTTGACAAGAGGAGGATCTCATAAGGGGTAGGACCCTACGAAAAATAAAAAAATGAAAAAGGTTCCACCACATCCCAGTCTTGTTGCTGAGTCATCAACAAGCCCAATCGGGTTTCTGCATGACCATGAACATGTTGGCAATGGGAAGGAAATGTTGGGAAACCCAAGGAAATGACCCTTGCTCACCACATAGAATATTGGGCTTGTTGAGGAAAGCGGGTGTTTTGCCTAGTCATGTTGATCAAGATTACTCACTGGCCAGGAAAACACTAGGTTGATGTAATACACTGGGACATAAATGACACACTATGGTCACTGGACCTAACAGATTGAATACCCGGTCATGGGGGGGGTAAAATGTTAAAGAAAATTAAAACAAAGCAACAAAAAGAAAAGCATAGCCGCTTAATACTGGCAATGCCCACACAATCCTTTTCCTCGCCCAAATGCCCGCAGTCTTTGATTCTAGCTGATGAAGCAGTAGGCTGTAAATAAGGATTGCCTTGTATACGACCTCAACTTTCGAGAGGCAGGGTACTGGACCAAAATGGCTAGTGGCGCCAGCCAAAACGAGGCTGACGAGGGTTTGTTTTCTTTTGGCGCGCAAGGCATTTTCAGGCTCGACTTCAATAGCTAGGTGATCCCTTCCTCTTTGGATCAACCACCTTGGCCATCCCCTCACCCCAGTCCTTGCTCTCCCACGATTCAGCGCACCGTTTCCCAACCCCAAAACTCTCCTCTCGATCTGAAAGCCCCATTGTTGTTGTCATCAGAGTGTGGGGATTAAGGCCAACTCCCATTGTTGTGGCGGCTATGATACTCCAGTGTCACTTTTTGCGTGAGTATGAAAATGTATTTGATTGTAGTTGCCGCCTAATGCAGTCGAAAAGGTCTTGGTGTCTGCTTTGGGGCTCCAGTGTCACTTTGCGTGAGTATGAAAATGTATTTCATTGTAGTTGCCGCCTAATGCAGTCGAAAAGGTCTTGGTGTCTGTTTTGAGGCTATTAGTGTCCGAGGGGAGGTAAAACCCTGCCGTGCGTGACCTGAGGAGCTCTTTGCGTAAACCAGTCCCCAGAGCCTGGCCATCTTCACGTCAAGGTCCGTCTTTTTTCTCGGCACCTCACTCCTGATACGATTCTATCGGGGGCGGGCCGTCCTAGGGCTATGTATGTACTAAATGAGTACGAATAGTTGCAGTTTTGCCTATACAGATTCACGCTTTGCTTTCTGAAGGGCTAACATAGCATTGATGGGGCCTGGCTAAACTACGTCTCATGTCATTTTGAATATGATTGTCAGTCGTTCGGAGTTTTCCTTTGCGGGGCAAAGAAATTACAGAGCGTTGTGAATGGCCTGGTGGCTCAGTGGTTAGAGCACCGGCTGGAAATGCGCATCGTGGTTTAAGGTTGTGGGTTCAAAACTCCGCAACCTCGCGCACATCTGCCATTACGCGCTTTCAGAGCGCCTAGCCATTGGCACCCCCCCCTTGGGACGACGCATGGTAAGTTTATACAGATGCTGCCTGCGTATCGCCAAGGGGTCTAGGTCCATGGGTGTAGTATGCTGGATAGGGCCATAGGGAGGGCTGCTGTATTTAGTCTGGGGGGGGGGGGGCGAGGATCAGGTCTGGTCTTGGCTCCACCATGGGCCATCGGGGATAGAGGGATGGGGTGAGGGGGGGGGGGGAGGGTGCGGTACGGTAAATAAATGTGCATGTACGAAATAGCTTGTAATGAATATAGAAGTTGGAACTATCCGCAAGGCTTAAATTGAAACCAGTTTGAATTGTTTGTACATAACAAAAACAAATGGAATGCTGATGTCATGGTAGAGTAGGGTACCGTTGGGGTTTTCCCGCTGCTGTGACACCCATCCAAGAGTCCACACAGAGCAAGCCTGACTATGGTAGGGCCCATTTTGGGGGGGAATTCTACGCACAAAATAGAGGGGTGGTAGGGGATGGGTACCAGGTACTTCTCATCCCACTGGCATTCTATGATGCCTGCGGGTGGCGCTTAATCCGGGTAGGGGGGCTGAGGGAATACTTGTTGGGGGAATTAGGTAAGATTGTGGAGTCCCAGGGAGCCTTGGATAGGAAGGCATCATGCATAGAATAGGGGGAGGGTGGGATATCGCACCTTAGCAGAAGGACAGTTCGCTGCCCATAGAGTCTGCAGGGATGTGGCGCAGAAAGGGGATGGGTGCACAAAAATGCATGGGCCCTGCCTGTGCCCTTACAGTTAGGGTTAGTATCTGTATAGACGTTCGGGTTAGACCAGTAAGCGTTGGCGCAGATCACGGCTTGCGATCTGAGCATTAGCGTAGGTCACGATGCTGTGGTGCCACCTTGAGATGACTCCCCTAGGGTCCCTGCAATCCATCTGACCTCCCAATGGATGAGTACCGGGGCACTCCCTGAGGCCTGGTCACCACCCTCTACTACACCCTGGACCTTTTTCGAAAAAGGAAAAAAATAAAAATAAAAAAATAAATTACAGAGCGTCAAGAGCATTCAAGGCTGGGAGGCGAGAGAGCGTCACAAGTGTGTGCAGCGCTGAGGCTACACGCAGTAAGCCAGCCACATCGAAAGGCCAGCAGTTCAGGTCGGACGATAGCTGAAGACATCGACCCTACGATGCTTTTTTTTTTTTTTTTTTT